TTGTTTTTACACCTTGTGTCCAATAGCATCTGCAAATTTCAACATACAAACAAAAATTGAAATAGAGGGCTTACAAATGCAATTTGTGACATGTTAAACTCTTGATGACCACTTGTTTTCCAATAAAGTCACCTCACACACGTATCTTGTGATCCTATTTTTTATATATGTTTTCCTTTGAATATATTGAAACGTGCAATCTGACTAAAGAACAAGGCAAAACATTGATGATAATAATTGATACTAATTTTCCAAGCCATTACCCACAATTTCCAAATAATTGATTTCACTTCTTATCAATCTCCAACCATCACCCACAATTCCCAAACTCATCTAATTTTCCAAGTCAAGTAACAATTAATCCAAAAGACAACTTTAAATTGTTACTCATAGTAGCTTACAGAATTTTTCAATTAAACAAAATCTAACATATAGTATGCATCCATATTCAAAAAAGAAGTTTCCGAACTTGTGTTTCAACTACTTCAAAAAGGCATAATCACTAGCAAAAACAAACTACGTGCCAAAAAAATATAACCACTTAGAAAAACCAATTACGTTTCGAATTATAATCCCACAAACCAACGAAAAATGCAATAATAATTCACTTCTAGATAGTGATGAAAACTAGAAGCTACCACTGCATGTCATTTATTTCGATGCCCTCCTTTATCTCAACCCCAGCATTAAACAGATGTGAATTGTGCATTACATAGTAGTGACAAGAGAGAGGCCATTCTTTGTGGTGGGACTATGCTTTCGGATGCAATAGTAGATGTCCCTCCTTGGTTAGACAACGCAACATCACGTGTTCCGCAGGCAGGAGTAGGAGCCTAAAAGGAAAAGATACGATTTTATCAACTTAAAATAACCATTCTTAAGCATTTGTATTCTCTAGTTGATGTGCGTAGTTATGAGAACCTTTCAGAGTCTTAATTTGAAATGTAGGGCTATTCATAATACAGGAATCTTGCAGACCGCTGAAATCTTATTTTGCTCATTCTTGATGTAGAGCAAATCCCAACCTCTTTAGACAGTCCAATCCTTAAGAGCTTCCTTAAATTTCTCCCGTTTCATAAATTTTAATCATTCTTTCAAGTCCACTTGTCCTAGATCTATGGAGTCATCCTATTCATTGTAGGATAGACCACGCCTTTCATCTGAATCTGCAGGACTCTATAGTCCTCCTTCCTCTTAATTACAACTATCATTGTTTCAGTCATGAACATTAGTTTCGGTATGGTGACCCTCCAGCATCTCTTCTCCTTTGAACTTCCTCTTGAACATCGACAGACATGTCACAGTATGTGTCATCCACGCTATCAAAATCAAAATCCTTATAGAATTCATCTTTCTCGCTAGTTGTATCGTCTACCAATGCAAAATACAAATATTTTAGTAACAAATCTAGGACAGCAAATTTAGCCATTTCTTATGTCTAAAAAACACACATTTGTTCATTTCTCTAGGGGCCTCAAAATCATTCCCATGAGTGAACACAAAGGCAAAATCAGCCTCATCAGCTACACATTCCTCCTCCATTCGGTCTCCATCAATGCCCGACGTGGCAATACCCTTTTCTTTTCTTTAGGCCATCTTCTCATTAATTCTAACTTCACCTTCCGCATATAAATTAGTATACATTGCATCATGTTGTCTTATAGTCACGTGTGTCCTTGTATCCAATTGCAGGGAACCACACCTATAGAACATAATAATAATAATAATAATAATAATAAAAACTATTAGTTAACACCTAAATTCAAATTTTTTTATGCAGCATATAATTCTAATTTCATCCACATAGTTTACAATAACACACATTGGTATGCTCAGTTCAATGATATATATATTATATAATCAAACTCTGAGGAAGAAAACATATATGATTGAATCCTAAAATCCATGATCAAATTTATATAATCCTTTCACTGCAAAAATATAATCAATTATATTTTCACACTTCCCCTACATCACCAATAAATGGGGACTGATACACCAAAGAGAGAACAATAATAGCAAAACTAGTTTCAAAGCCCAAGTATCCAAAATGTAGAATGTCATATTCCATAGTTCATGTACTACTTCTAATTATATATAAATAAGTAAACAACATAAGTTGGACCATACAATAACCCATCCTAGGTCACTGTCAGTTTAAAAACCGACAACAACTTCGTCAATTTATCTCAATAATAGTGAAAGTTTTGGTCCAAACACTTAATTAGATAATGAATTTTGGTTAAAACACCAAATTGAACAAAATATAGAAAGTTTAAAATCATAGACCGAGAAAAATTAACACTCTACAAAATCAATCCAACACTACTATATTGAATTAAATCTGCAAAATTACTCGGAAATTACAAACCTTACACGATATCTCGGTGGAAAAATTATGATTCTGAATATCCTTTCTTCTTCGTCGAAAATCCCGGCGGGGTCGTGTTCGTCTCTGAAATCGCTCCAACCGTACAATATAACAATTAACAAAACACCTAAAACGACGGGGAGATCTGCTTCTCCTTTTTCAGACGTGTTCATCGTCGGGTGAGTAACGCGAGCGATAAGAGTTTCTAAAATCTTGGATGAAATAAAATATAAAAATAAAATAAAATTTATAGCTTCAGTTAAAACATTCAAGGGCATATTGAAAAATTTATATTTAAAATTGACACTGTTAGGTGCGAATATACAGGTTTTTTGAAACTACAGAAGTATTTGATACAGTTTATGACCTATGGGGTGTTTCGCACAATTACCTGAACCACATGTAAGTTTCATGCATTTTTGCCAAAAAGTCATAATATTTCTGTAATGAATATAGGATCGAAATCGAAAACTGAAAACAAGTAAGAGAACTAAATAAATATTTTTTGTGTTTGTTTGGGGGTTTGGATTTTGAGTTGGAATTTGAATAGTAAAAATTTTAAATTTGAATAGTTGTATGATGTGATATAAATATGTGTTGATGTGATATTTTGAATGTAAAATTAATTTTTAGTATAATATAAAAAATAAAAAATAGGTGTTTGATTTGATATTTTTGGGGGGAAAAAAGGATGAATAGTGGATTGAAAATCCAATCCCCCAAACAAACACACCCTTATTTGATTTGAAAAAACAATCCAAAAAGAACCAACAACCACAAGAAATTTTGTAACTCGGAGTTTATCAACCAATTATAGAAGAATAAATAATCTATCACAGTAACACGTAACCGACAATGCTCAGCAACACCTACTAGCAACCAAGGACGGCTCTAGGCTCAGGCGATAGGGGCGTCCGTCCAAGGCCCAATGTAAATAGAGGGCCGTTATATATTTATGTTATGATGATGTGTTGAACAACATACAATGTGCTAACAAACAACACATGGTATTACTATTGGCAACACAATACTAATATTAATTTAATACAAATACAAATACAATACATGAACTAATAATATATGATATATCTCACGCAACACATGACACAATTGATTTTAACACTTGACATACTTTTATACAACACACGTTGTAATTATGAACAAACAACATATGTTTTTATTACAAATAACACATGTTGTATTTAATAAAGACATGTATTATTTATATATTTTACGCATGTTGATTTTTCCAAACCTGCACCGTAACCCTCCCCTTATGTTATATATGTATAATTTTTATACATATAATTTATTTGATGTGTGTAAATACTGTGTTATTAGATTAGTTATAGCTTTAAGTTAATATTTGGAATATTTTACCTTAATTTGAATTGAAATCATTTTTTAGTATCTTATATTTATTTAATATTATATTGATGTAATATTAGTACAAGGTATAAAATTTTTATAGTACCATATTCTTCTATATGAAAAGCGCTAGAAGTCAACCAATTAGTGTAAAATTTGTAACACGAACAAACAAATAGATCATTTAAATAACAAAATAGTTCATCTCATTTGTTAATAATTTATAGTTGCAGGCTTATAATTCGATCTTGTTCATTAAATTTTATGATTGTGAATGTGTTGAAAATTTTAAAATTGATTTGGATTTTGAATTGGGATTTGAATAGTAAAAATTTTGAATTTGAATAGTTATATGATGGGATATAAATAGGTATTGATGTGATGTTTTTGAATGTAAAATTGATTTTTAGTATAATATAAAAAATAAAAAATAGGTGTTTAATTTGATATTTTTAAGGAGAAAAAATTGAATGAATAGTGTAAATCCAATCCAATCTCCAAACAAACACACCAATTACTCAAGATCAAAATTAATAAGTAAAAACTTATTCTAAATTTGTATTTTAATACACATTTTTTAGGTAAGATTTATTTATAACTAGCTTTTTGAGTTAAGATTTATTTATAACTAGTGTTCAAATCCGTGTTAGGTATGAAATTATTAATTAAGTTTAATCATTATACTTTTTCCGTCTCATTGAAATATTGTTATTTTTTATTTTCATCCGTCTCAAAATAAAATTATCATTTTCTAATTTAGTAATTGTACCTGCATAATATAATAAATACTCTTCAAACTTACACTATATTATACAAATGTTATTACTTTTATATGACACAATACTATTTTCGTTATTTTCACTACAACTCAGTATAATACTAATATTAAAAAATTTGCGTGCAAAAAATAAATGGCAATTTTTCTACGGACGGAGAGAGTATTATTTTTATTTAATTTTATAAATAATTCATTTATGAAATTACATATGTAGCAGGTTTTTATCTTCGTGAATTTTGATTTTAAAAAATTGACTCTAATCTTTTTAAAAATATATATATATACCTTCTGAATTTAAGTTGCAACTGAAATAATATTTTATAAAATCAAATAATATATTTCAAAAAAAAGTTATAATAATTAAATAATAAAAGAATTGTACAAAACAAATGATATATACTTTTTAATGGTTAAATTTCGAAAAGTAAATATAATATGTTTTATCTTTTAATCTCTTTATTACTGAATATTTGTTACAGTAACTAAAGGAAAATATATGTATTACTATATGATATTTACAACGCAGAAATTACATTCAGAGGAGAATTTCTGATAGTAAATTACAAAAAAGAAGAAAAGGTATTGGGGAAACACAAAAACTACAATCCCCTAAAAATTACACGCTTTTTTGTATATCGTAATGGGCCTAATTAATATCTAAGGTCCATTATGTAAGCATAAAATACACCGCTGCAGCCGACGCTTAAGCGGCGGACGGTGCGGTGACGTAGGGAACCCTCGTTGGCGCCGGCAGTGCAGACGGATGCGCGGCGGGGATGATGCCCTGATTGTAATTTAGAGTTTCGTCGTTGTAGATCTCCCGCCACCTCTTGACGAGGAGCTTGATGTCTTCCCTGTCCATGTTGGGTTCCTCGCCGGTGTAGCGCCATGGCTTGGAGCCGGCAGCGCAGTAGTGCACCACCTTCACCTCCTCCAAATTGACGTTCTCCGGGTGCCTCCACAGCATCGCCAGCACCAGATTGTAGACGTTGGGGATCGGCTTGTATATGTCGCGGAAGAACATATTCAGGAAATCCTGCACGCACGCGGAGGCAAGTTTAATTTAATTAAATTAAATTAGGGTTTCGATCGAAATTGGGCGTTTGATTTGATTTTGATTTTGATTTTATTACCTGCTCGGCGAATGGCGTGGGGGGAGTGATTTTGAGAGTATTGAGAAGATCATGGTAGATGGGGAGGCTGGGCTCGAAGACGAACATCCCTGCGTTGAAGTAGAGAGGGGGCTTGGGGCCGATGGTTCGGGGCCATTGGACACGGTCGGGGCACTGCTGGCAGTAGCCGATCTGGTACTGTGGGGTGTGGCTCCATGTCTTCTCGCAGAAGCAGTCCATCACGGCGTAGAAGTAGCCGTTGGGCAGATCAAAGAGGTGATCGATGTTGTCGAACACCTGGATGTCTCCGTCCAGGTAGATCATCTTGCTGTACTCCACAAACTGATCATACACAAAGTCAGTGAATACCTTCAATTCAATCAAGATATTATTAACAGAGTTGTGTTGTGTACTACTACTACCACTACTGACCTCCCATATTCGGAGCTTCGAGTAATTGATGACGTAATACGCCATGGCGAACTGGGTCTGGTTCTCCGGCGGGTACACCGGCTCGATCTCCCGGACGATGCAGCCCTGCTCCACCAGCTGGCGGCGGTGGTCGGCGGGGACGTCAGGCAGCACCGCCACCACTAGAGGGTAGATGGTGCCGACCTTCCTGAGTCCCTTGGCCAGACCCACCACGCCCTTCACGTAGTCTCCATTGCCTGCCAAGAACGTCACGTAGGCGCGGCTCGGCAGGCTGCCGGCTTTCGCTAAACCGGACGCCGCCCGGTTCAAGGCTGCGGTCGTGATTTCAGGAGGAGCCATATTTATGTTTGGTAGTATTTTGCTCGAGTCGGTTAGGAAAGGAGAATAGGGGAGTGAGGGACTCACTAACAGTTAGTTTAAGAAGAAGAACAAACACCTGAGGAAAGCTGAGTGACAACAATGAGTGCGTTTGGTGATTTCGGATCAAGGGGCTTGCGGGGTTTATATAGAATCTTGGGATTATCATAAATCTTTTTTTAAAAAATGGTGTGTGTACAAGAAATGGAATTTGATTGGTACAACGTTGGCTGGGGCTGTCTAGTTTTTACTTACATGGTGGGGAATTAGCATGTGTCTATGAGACTGAAATCTCAGCCGTCCGTGTGGAATCGTACGGTTACATGTGGCGATAAGAGAAATTTCTGGGAGGATTTGGACGGTGCCAGTCATTTAATTATTTAATTTATCGCGGGGTCCACTTAACTATTTTGCTGACCGCTGAGCCAAGGATGCAATACCGAAGCGAATCGAAAATAGAGCTCGATACCGACATTGTACTGAATTTTTCGGTATAATTAAAATATATATTGGTATCATACTGAAAGCTTCAATATACCGAATTTTAGTATATCGAAATTTTCGGTATGGTACCGGTATATATTGTTTATACCGATAATTTTAATTTCGATACGATACCGATATATACTGCTTATACCGAAAATTTTGATTTCAATGGATACCGATATAATTTTAAATTTCAAAATAATTAAAAAAATTAATAAATATCATTATTCTCCACCACAAAAATATTATGAAAAAATCAATAAATTTTCAATAGTTTACATAATTTTTTTGTTATAATTTAAAAAAATATTAATAATTATTATTTATATTAATAATTAAATTATTTAATAAAAATAATATCGATACAGTATTATACCGAAATACCGAACTTTCTGAAAATTCATATCAATACGGTACCGAAAACTGGTACGATATCCATACCGTACCGAAATTTTCGGTATTTTCGACACGATACGGTACGATAAGTCGGTATTTCGGTATGTTCGATAAATTTATCCATCCCTAGCTGAGCCGATCTTCGGGTCCCACACCGGGGTGTTTTAAAATATTTGTCCTACTTAGACCATCCAAAATATCTCCACTACTTTTTCTTATCGACGTCACTTTCTCTTTCCGCCACGTCAGCTGAGATATTCTCTTCTATTTTATATTCGCAACAAAAATATTCATCCTAATTTTTTAATAAATTTTTTATTTTTATATTATATAAATATACTAGCAGAATCAACAAAAAAATTATAATTATATTTTTTTTATTTAATAGTAGTTTCTTTATATATTATATATATATTTTTAATCAATATAAAAAAAAAATAAAATGAAATCAATGAATTATACTATCTTTGTAAATATTAAATTTTGTAGCATTTTATTTTTATTTCTTAATTAAATATAAGATATAATAGTATTATTTAAAATAATTTTGAATGCAAAATAAATTATATTTTAAAAATTTAATATATTTTTTTTATATCTTCTTTATTAATTACAAATAAAAATTATTTATCAATATATACGTTATAATTCTAGAATAAATTTAAAACATAAGTCTATACTTTTTTTTAAACATATATATGTGTTTATATAATTATTTTAAAAATTAGTAAAATATATGCATTTAACTTTGGATAGTACTATTCATTTATTTTAAATACAAAATATTCACTACATCCATAGCCGGATTTTCTGCAAACTCGAACTAAAAACATCATCATCTACCATCAGCCACTAATTCTCGGCCAAACACATGCACCAAATAGAGCCGGCATCAGTCCACATCTGCATAAACTTTTCCCGAAAGAAATATGTAATATAAATTATGATTTACGTTATATATTTGGAATAAAATATGCAATATAACTACAATAATTTAATGTTAAAATAACAATTTAATTCATTATAATCAAAATCAATTAAAAAATATATAAAAACTATAAATATATTTGGATGTATTTATAACTTAATTGATTATGAAAATAAAATTATTATTCATATACATATTACAATTTATGTTTTTTACAACTTAAAAAATAAAACCAATTCCCCAATAACTTAATATAAATTATGATCAATTGCTAATAAGAATTTAAATTACACTTAAATGTATAATAAAATTATTTTTATATATTACAAATTAAAAAATCACCAAACCTATCGCTAACAACTTCTGATATAAACAATTTAGAAAAAATCAAAAAAAATCTAAAAATTATAAAAAATATATATATATATATAAAATATTATCAATAAAAAAAATTATCAAAAAATTATTTGAGATTCCAACTTTATGGCTACGCAGAAAAAATACAACAAAATAAACAATTTTAAAAAACAAAAAAATCTAAAAATTATAAAAAAATATATATAAATCAATAAAGAAGAATAGCAAAACAACTTAATATTATCAATAAAAACAATATTATCAATAAAAAAATTTATCAAAAGAGTATTTGGGATTCCAATTTTATGGATGCGCAGAAAAAACACAACGAAATAAACAATTTAGAAAAAACAAAAAAATATTATTAATAAAGAAGAATAGCATATTGATAAAAAAAAATTATCAATAAAAAAAATTATCAAAAAAGTATCTGCAGAAAAAATACAACAAAATAAACAATTTAGAAAAAATCTAAAAAATCTATAAATTATAAAAATATATATATATAATATTATCAATAAAGAAGAATAGCAAAATAACTCAATATTATCAATAAAAAAAAATTATCAATAAAAAAATTATCAAAAAAGTATTTGAAATTTATGACTGCTCAGAAAAAATACATTAGAAAAAACCAAAAGAATCTAAAAATTATAAAAATATATATAAAAAAAAAATTATCAAGAAGAATAACAAAACAATTCAGTATTATTAATAAAAAAATATTATCAATAAAATTTTTTTATAAAAAAGCAACAATTTATTGTAAATGTATCAATGATAATAAATTTTCACCCTTTAGTCGTATTACCCTTCCTCACATGTCCATATATATAAGAAAAAAAAAATCAGTTTTCCTCCATTAAATATTTTTTATTTAATAGTAATTTCTTTATATTATATATATTTTTTAAATCATATAAAAAAATAAAATAATATCAATGAATTATACTATCTCCATAAATATTAAATTTTGTAGCATTTTATTTTTATTTCTTAATTGAACATAAAATTATAATAGAATAGTTACTTTTTATATTTTCTTTATAATCGTAATTACAAATAAAAATTATTTATCAATATATACATTGTAATTCTAGAATAAATTTATAACCTAAGTCTATGTTTTTTTTTAAACATATATATATATGTTTATATAATTATTTAAAAAATTAGTAAAATATATGCATTTACCTTTGGATAGTACTATGCATTTATTTTAAATTTATTTTATAATTTTTAAATACAAATATATTAAATATTAATTAATAAATTATTATCAATTTCTGATTTTTTTTCCTTCTTTAACATTCATCTCTTTCTGAAGAAATTAAATACAAAATAAAAAAATAAAAATTATAACTCTTGCTCTGCGCCACATCAAAATAAAAAATTTAAAGAATAACAAAAAAAAACTATAATCAATAAAAAAGTATCAGAACAATTGTAAAAAATTGAGAGAATATGAAAAGAAAATAAGAAAATAGTTAAAAAATAAAATGAAAATTTTAGAAAATTGTGATTACTCAACTCATTTATAAAAAATATGAAAAACGGTAATTTTCTCATTAACACAATTAAAAAACTATTTAAAACCAAATTTTGAGAAAACCGTAAAACCACCCCATTTATTGATAAAGAGTTAAAACGATAAAACAAAATTAAAAAAATAAAAAATAATAATAAAAATAACATATAACTTAATACAAATTATGATCAATTTCTGATTTTTTTTTCCTTCTTTAACATTCATCTCTTTACGAAGAAATTAAATATAAAATAAAAAAAAATAACCATAAATAAATTCAAATTTTCAATTTCAATATTAATAAAGAAGAATAGCAAAATAATTCAATATTATCAATAAAAAAATATTTATTACCAAATTGGATAACTTATCATATTAAATATAGATAAAATATTTTATTAAATATAGATAAAATATTTTTTAAAAAAATTCCTACCGTGGATTGTAAAAGAACAACAACATATAAATTCAAAAACTTACTTCAAGAAGACGGACTTCTATACGTAGTAGAAAATTTTTGTCAAAATGGCTCAAAATTTATATAAAAATTCTAAAAAATTTAATTAATACAAATGAATATGAATCAAATAATATGAAAATATAACAACTTGAAAAGTAAAAATTTCAAAGAACAACACCCTCTTGTGAAAAAAAAAAAAAACTCACCCTGTAAAACTTGCCTGAAGAAATAAAAAGAGAACATCCCGTAAAACTTGGCTGAAGAATTTCTGTAAAACTTGCCTGAAGAAATAAAGGGAGAATACCCTGTAAAATTTGAAAAAAAAAAAAAGAAAAGAAAAACACCCGGAAGAAATTTTCTTCTCCGAATGGCAATCTTCTCCAATAAAAAAAATAAAAGTTTTTGTTGCCCGAAAAACAACACCCTTGCCTTGCCTGAAGAAAAAAAAAGAAAGAACACAACTGTAAAAATTTGCCTGAAGAAATAAAAGGAGAACACACGGTAAAACTTGCCTGAAGAAATAAAAGAAGGACACCCGTAAAACTTGCCTGAAGAAAAAAAAGTCCTGAAGAAAAAAAAACAAGAAACTTGCCTGAAAAAATTTTCTTCTCCGGATTGGCGATCTTCTCCAATAAAAGAAATAAAATTTCTGTTGCGAACAACACCCTGCCTGAAGAAAAAAAATAAACTTGCCTAGGAGAACACACACTGTAAAACTTGCCTGAAGAAATAAAAAGAGGACACCTGTAAAACTTAACTTGCCTGAAGAAAAAAAAGAACTTGCTTGAAGAAATTTTCTTCTCCGGATGACAATCTTCTCCAATAAAAAAAATAAAGTTTCTGTTGGCTGAAGAATGGTGCTGAACGGATTGTATATCTATATATATATATATATATAAATCAGTTTTATCCACTAACATTGAAACCACCGTACCACTATTTTCAAAACCTCATACACTATTTCAAAACCGTCATTCACATCATTTATCATTTATGTTGATAATTAAAAAAAAAAACAATAAACTCTAAATCTAAGAATAAAAATTAAAAAATTGTAATTAAAAAAACCAAAAAACTCTCAAAATTCTGAGATTGTAGGATGGCATAAATTTCCAAAAAATGAGGTCCATCTTTTGAGCTGTTTTAACCTATTATTTGTCTTTTAAACAACTATTTTCTTTTTATTTGATAGCATATTGACAAGTAAGTAATGAACTATATATTTAAGCTCTCTATTCTAATTGATGCCAAGCCCAATATAAATTGCAACGTAATCGCTTTCATTTCAGAGGTTAAAAAGGTGGAGTAGTGCAATTCGTAATAGTTTTTTTTTTTTTCGGCGAAAATAATAGTTACCAACAGTTTTTAAATTGACGGTTAAAACTTTTTTTAAAATTACAATAGTTTGGTACAGATGAAGCCTTTTCAACAGTATCATTTTTCTTTCTCTAAACAGATTTTTGTTCTCTGAGGAAATATTCCTCCAACATTTGCCATTGACATGCTCATCTGTCACTTCTACCACCGTTGATGTGCTCGTCATGTTTATAAAAATAAGAATGTATTTGTGTTCACATAAATGTAAAACAAATTTACTAAACTGTGAGTTAGTTTTGTTATCCTTCTATGTTTTTCATTAATATGTGAAATTTATATATCAGCTGTGTGCTCTTAAGCTCTTAGAGTTAATTGTAACATTTATTATTTGTTTTTTAATTTTCGAATCGTTGTTATTACTATTCTTATTATTATTATTATTATTATTATTATTATTATTATTATTATTATTATTATTATTATTTTGTATTTTTAGGGGTGAATTTAGATTTTTGTTCAAATGTTGGAATCAATTCGAAAATTTAAAATTTTACGAAAAGATCACTTAGAATCGAATTGAAATATTCAAATTTTTTGAAATTCAAATAGTCAAATTTGAATCAATTCAAAAATTCAAAATTAAAATAATAATAATAATTTCAAGTTGAAATGTAAAATTCAAAATTTTTGAAATCCGAGTTATAAAATTCAAACAAAATCAAAAAATTAAAAATCTGAATATTCAAAATATGAACTAAATCGAAAATTTTGAAATTACATAACATATTTAAAAATCGAAATTTTGAAAATTTTAATTCCTTTTATATTTTTATTAAAATATTAAATATATTATAATAAATATATTAATATCATGTAACATCTAACAATATGATATAATAATATATAAACATAAATATAATATATATTTATATGGATGGATAGAAAAAAGAAATATGCATATATTAATATATAAAGTATAGACAAATCATGTGTAGCTAGTAAGATTGAGAGACGTCGAGAGTTTATATCTATAATTTCACAGTCACGATTTATTCAATACTATGAGATCATCTCATAATGGATAATGTCTAGATAAATTTGGTATGGATATATATACAAGCACTAAGCTGCGTAGGTTCAAATATCTACATAAAATTGTTCTAATTGCACAAATTGATTATGCGTTGAGTTTTTAGAGGATCTCTGGCGGTTAGGGTAGAGTCTCACACTTTACACCATACGTTAGTATCTTTTATTTAAATAATTAAAATAAACAATAAGTTTAAGCATTTATTATTATTTTCAATTGGAGAAACATTATGTAATAATATTTATTTATTTTTTAAATATTTTATATTATTAAAATAAAATAATAAATATTTAATTAACTAATAATATAAAATATAGTGAATGATATAAAATTTAAATTGATAAAAATAAATATGTAATATGAATGGTGAGATCCATATGATATGATTGTCGGTTGAATAAAGAGTTTAAAACAACAACGGTTTTCTTAAAAAAGTCTTTGTTTGGTGTAAAAATATTGTATTTCAATGATGTATCAAGATCAATTTAAAGATTAAAGCACATTATTCTTAAACTATATACCGTGGCTCAAAATTTTTTTTTAATATTGTTATCAATAGATCCATTTCAACTGCTTCATCTCTCACTTCGGTAACTTCATTCGAGATTCACATCTTCTCCAAAATAGAATTTGAGATCACCTATGTTGGACCTCCCACCTATTCTCGCCTTCCTTCATCTCGAGATTGGTTTTGCAATTTGGGTAAGTATTTTTGTTTCAAATATTTAATAGTAAACATATATTGGAGGAAATGGAGGAAAAGTCTACGGTTGATGTGGTTTACATGAATGTGTTTCGATTAGATTTCAATGGGAATTTCTTCTAATATTTTTTTGACTTTTATGTTCAATTATTGAGGAGAAATGTTCCAATTTGATGGGTATGATCGATTATCAGATTTAGTTCATTTGTTGGATTTCAAATTTTATATGATTTTTTTTTTTTACCATTCCTCTTTATTATATAACTATAATATTTTAAGCTATGAGTTCAATAGAGAAAATAGACTCCCTTAAAATATATGAATTCTAATTTTTATTTCGGTAGTTTGCTTGCATACAATATTGTATATTGGTTTGAAAGTCTATATTTTAGCATCCTTCCTGAAGGTAAGTTATTTATTCATGTTCCAAATATGAGATCAAAAACAAAAGAACAAGTTTAGTGCTTTCAGAATTGGTTTCTATGCACAATAGTCAATCAATCTCATAATAGTGGAAAAAAATTTTACCCAACCAAGCACATAGTTCTATCTGTGCTCTTCACCTAAAGTTTGCGGATACGTAGCTTACATTTTGCTTAATTTAAAAGAATATGTTCAGAGCACATTGTAGATTGTGTAATCCATTTTTAATAGTATTTACTTTTAAAAATCTGAGACATATCAAACTATCATTATTGGAAAAATGTATGAATGAGATTATTTGCAATAACCAAGGTTGAGAAAGCTTTTATCTTCTAGTTATCTTCAGTTAAGCATTTAGGATAAACAATTTTTTTTGCAATACTTTGATGCATCCAACTCACATATTTACTTACATTTCTCAAATGTCAGGCCTTCAAGATTGAATTGCCACCATTCAAATTACTCAAATATGTTCATGTGGAAAATGTGTTCGAAAAATATCGAGAAGCGAAAACAATCTTAAAAGGTTGTCTTATAAGTGTGAGTAATGTAAAAGAATGTTACGCTGAGAAAATGATGTCACTGAGAAAATGTATTGTGCTTCTGATATGAAAAAAGAAAAACCTTTTATAGAGGTAAATTAAGTGTTACGTCAAGGTACCCATGTAAGAGTAATGACATTCTATGTCCGTGCTCTAATGAGAAACATGAAAAAAGTGAGAATAATTACATGTTGCATTATTTGACTGTCTTTAATATTTTTATTTCAATATTAATTTTTATTTGTGTGTTTTCTTTACGATTGTGAGGTCTAGATTTCTATGATGCTATATGTCTATTAGCAATTGTACTATCATTATAGTATTATTTTTATTTGTTGTTACGATTATTTATTATCACCGAAAAAATTACTATTACCAAAACTTATTATTTCTAAAATTATAAGATGAAATTTTATTAGAAGATAAATTTTTCATTACTAGAATTGTTTATTACTACTAAATAATTTAATTTATTAAAAAATATAAGTATAAAATAAATTTATTAATCATTATAAAATTTAAATAATAATTTAAAATTATCAATAACATCATCGATGTAAAAATACATAATTTAATATTATCAATTACTATAATTAATATATTAAATCCCATTAAAATCAACTATGTTATATTTCTTTCGTCCCTTAATAATTTATCAATTTTTTTATTTGGTCCGTCCCATAACAAAATATCAATTTCATTTTTTTAGTAATTGTACTATCTACTTAACATTACGAAATATATTAAACAATTGTCATTACCTTTATATCATACAATACTAATAAAGTTAGTTTAGTCTTTTTATTTTATTTCTCCTACACTATAATATAATATTAATATTTCTAAAACTCCGTATAAAAAGTAAATTAATATATAGATATGAAACGTAGGGAGTATAAATAACCACAAATATCAATTATATTAGAATAGAGTAGTAATTATTTATAAATTTATATTTGGTTTTATAAAATTCATTTTACACATAAATGACCATTTATTTTTTTTATAAATATAAAATATTATTAATTATTATTTATAAATTAATATATAGATAGGAAACATAGGGAGTATAAATAACCACAAATATCAATTATATTAGAATAGAGTAGTAATTATTTATAAATTTATATTTAGTTATATAAAATTCATTTTACACATAAATGATCAATTATTTTTTTTTATAAATATAAAATATTATTAATTATTATTAAATTTTAATATTCGTTGGACTACGAGGGAAAAAAAATAAACAAATGATATATAATATAATTTTGTATTTTTAATATATTTTATTTTTTATATTAAATACTCCCTCGATCCCATTGAAATGTTACTATTTTCTATTTTCTTTCGTCCTAAAACAAGATTAACATTTCCTAATTTAGTAATTTCCTAATTTAGTAATTGTACTACCTACCTAACATAATAAATATTCTTTCAACTTACATTATATTATACAAATGCCATTACTTTTATATTACATCATGCTAATAGTGGTATTTTTTCTTTTTTACTGTAATCTAATATAATACTAATATTAAAAACCTTCCATGAAAAAAAACAAATACTACATTTCTATAGGGGGAGTATAAAAATATCATATAAAAAATAATATTTTTGATAAACCATTAATTTTTGCCCCTATATTAACGGTGTTGAGCAGGAGCGTCAGTCGCCTATATAAATTCAAGAACGCAGTTCCGTCCAAACTTCGTCTTCCCTAACCAGAAAATCTTTCAGCTTGGCTTTGTCTTCCGCCTTTTGCTTGGAAACCTAATCTCGAGTCATCTTTCTCTTGGAGACCAAAGAATTCATGTAAGAATAACGGGCAACAAATCTTCCGTGCGTGCGTGGATTAGATTTCTTGCCCACCAAGTTTAACCAACTACATATCCTCGATCCCGTTAGTTTGTTTTGTGTTTTGCGACAATTCTCTAATTCGTGATCAAATGAAATCCATCCGGGTTGCGAACATGAAGCCCTGCTGCAAGATCTTGTTGCCTTGCAGAAACCCCCCTTTCTCGAGTGCAATTTCTCCCAAATTTTCGTTTTACTCATTCTGCACTGGTAATTCGTATAACTTCCAGTTCAGAAATTCCATTCCTAATCACATTTCTGCACCTCGTCTTTCTTGGTTTACAACCGTTTTCAGCCGATCGGATAAGCCTTCGTATGCCAGGGTCCCAATTGGGGAACAATCTAGGGTTTTCTCGAACTCTAATTTGTGGAGCCATAGATTCCGTTATTTGGTCCCCGGCGCTACAACGGATGCCGAGACATATTCGACGTCAGTAGATTCTCGGGTGAATGACAAGAATTTCGAGAGAATTTATGTGCAAGGAGGGTTCAATGTGAAACCTGCTGCAGTGGATCAAATCGGTCTGGATGAAAATGTAGCAGCAAGGGTGAAGGAAGATAAGATAGGATATGACAAGGATGGAAATAATGCTGAAAATGAGAGGTTGAATGCCTATTCAGCTGAGGGTGTGAATGTTGAAAGAGAAGAGTCAAAGGTCGAAGAGGAGGCGTGGAGGCTGTTGAGGAATGCGGTGGTGACTTATTGCGGGAACCCCGTCGGCACTCTGGCTGCCAATGATCCGAATGACAAGTTGCCCCTGAACTATGATCAAGTGTTTATCAGGGATTTTATCCCATCAGCCTTTGCGTTTTTGTTGAAGGGTGAGGGGGAGATTGTGAGGAATTTTCTGCTGCATACCCTGCAGCTGCAGGTAAATTTGATTTCAATCCTATTGATCTATATCAGTGTTTTCTGCATTATATGTGCTTAACAAATACACTGAATTTTGAGCCGTTAAGCTTTTGTTTCTTCTTGATTAAATTGTTCTATAACAATTCTGTGATAGGCACAGCAACTTGGTTATTGAAGAAGTAAATATTTCAATGAGTTAATTTGATTGAGGATTTTGTTTTTTTTTTACACTGTTGGGCGAATGATAGGGAATAGAGAGATCTTACCATGAGAATTATTGGTCATGTAAAACCAAATATTGTGTGCCCTAAGACCTAAGTACAGTTGCTTTCTTCCAATTCCTAATTATTCTGCAGTAATGATTCAACAGAGGTTAAATATGTAAGGTTACTTATAAACTATCATGTGAAGAATGGTGAGCTAAGGAACTCCTGTTGGCTTGAGCATTCAGCATATCAATCTTTCTGTAGCAAGCCAAGCTTGAGTTGGCTGCTGCAATACTCCTTGGACATTGAGCGCTTGAAGGATACTATTGTATACCTATTACCTGTCTACCTTTAATATATATCATATGCAGTAAATCAACTAAAAGTGACCGTTATGATGCAGCCTAAAATGCTTTTATCTTGGTAAAAAAATCTGAGTTGTACTAGCTTTAGTTTTCTGAGTTGTTAGATGTTTTGTATTATGTCATCATGTCCAAACAACTAAGTAAACAAAGGATTGAACAAACAAGGAAAAAAATCTGAGCATGTCATCAAAAAAAAAAAAAAAAGAATTTGAGCATAACAAATAAGATAGAAGAAAAAAAAAAAAAATCCAAGAATATCTTGATCAAATCCAAGCTAAATAGATTTGATCTGATCTAAAACAATTTATAAATAGGCATAACACAGTAAATAAAGGCTGGCCGAAATTGAGAAACAATGAGAGTAACAGCAGCCCATGCGTTGCTGTTCTTGATCAACGTGGAGTGCAAAATTGTGAAGTTCAGTCATCACACACGTAAATATATTGATGGATAAAGGCTGCATGAGCACTATATGAAGATCATCTTGCAACTCATGAGAGTTGAGTGTTAGGCTAAGATCTCGTGTTGGTTGTCTTTGGGACTAAAGACTAAAAACATAGACTAGTTGGCTGAGGTGTGCGCTCATTTTGATGTATGTTTTACATTACTGATAGTGATTAATTACTATGGACAGAAGTCTCCCTAATGTAGATTAAATAATGATTGAAGGAGGTTACCATATTGTGTGTTATGTGCCTACTTTTTCTCTTATCTTTCAATCTTGAGAACGCATACCAGACTCATCATCAATCAGAGGCCAGTCCTTAAAAATTCTAGCAAGTGTTATTAGAGTGGGTTTCTTGGAAGTATTTTGCTAACATAAGACAGAGACAAATCTAATTGATGATGACAAGAGAAGGGGTTTCAGTTTCAAAACCACTGTTATTGGATAGAAGTAATTACCTCATTGGAAGACTTGTAGAAGATTTTCATAGAATTATTAGATGAGATGCATGGAAATCAATTGAATATTGATGATAGCGTCCTACAATTATTATCAAGGAAGGTAGTGTGGAAATCAAGCCAAAAGATAAGTGGGCAGTTGCCGAAAAAGCTAGTGCACAAGCAAATTCACAAGCAATGAATGCTATATTTTTTGGAGTAGATAACAATTAGTTCAAACTCATATCAAACTGTGAAGTTGCTCATGAACCTTAGATTTTGTTGATAACCCAATGCTAGATATTAAAGATGAATGGGGATGAGAATGTTGGAGAATACCACAGTAGATTGAGAGAACTCGTGAATAAAGCACATATGCTTGAAAGAATCCACTTTAATGAATAATCAATAAAAAAACGTTTTGACCTTCAATAAGAATCTACCCTTTTCACACTCAATATGCTTAGTCCGTTTGTGGAACACAAGGTTCGATGCTATGTGAAGGGGTGCCAGATTATCACACAATAATCGAGTTGGAGTCAAGATTTGGAATGATGGAATCCCAACTCTATCAAGAAACGATGAATCCAAATAATCTTACAAACATTCGCCATTGCTCAATAGTCATATTCAACACTTGATCTAGATACCACATTATGCTTCTTGCTTCTAAAGTTGCCACCCGCAAATACACAAATATTTTTAGGTTGACCTATGATCAACTTTAGAACTTGCCCAATCATCACCAACATAACACTCAATTTGATCGTACTTGTAGTCCTTATATAACAACCCCAGTCCTGGAGTACCCTTCAAATACTCCCAAATTTGTTCTAAAGCCTCCTAATGTTGTACTCTCGGTGCACTCATGAATTGACTCACCACACTAATAGGGTATGCTATGTTTGGTTGGGTTACAATGAGATAATATAGTTTGCCTACTAATCTTCGATATCTTTCAGGCTCTCCAATAGTTGCCCATTCCTTTGTAAAGATTTGGTTTGGTGTCATTGGAGCATAGGATGGTTTAGCTCCGATCTTTCCAATTTCAAATCAAGAATATATTTTTGCTCAGAGGACAAATACCATTCTTCTTCCTAAACACCTCAATTCCTAAGAAATATTGCAGCTCATTGAGATCTTTGGCTTGAAATTGAGAGTGTGAATTCCTTCAAAGACAAAATCTCATTTCATCACTGCCGATGATAATAATGTCATCCACGTATACCACAAGAAGGGTAATGCCAAAATCTATACGGCGGTAATATGGAATGATCTAATCTGCATTTCATCATCCCAAAGTCTCAATTGCGTGACCAAACTTTCCAAACCATGCTCGAGGACTTTGTTTCAAGCCATTTAAGGCCTCAGAGAGAGACTTAGGAATAAATATAAAGTAAAGAGTAGACACAAACAAGCAAGAGCTATGGGACAAACAATCACTAGAAATAACAGAGACAATAGGATAGGGACACTGGCGTTTACCTTTGCGAAGAGCAATAGGAAGATCCTCAGTATCGTCAAGAGGTGCAAATAGAGAATTAATAGACTTAACCAACAAAGCAAGAACTGCAGATGAAGAAGAGATTGGTGCAGAATGCAGCAGAGGGGGTCTAGGACGGCGGCAGTACACGTGAGGAAAGTGAATAATCTTATATAGAAACGGGGGCTGGCAACTAGTATACGGAGCTTGAGGCTAAGACCCAGTATAAACTAACCTGTTATCATCTGAAAGGGAAGTGGGAGCCCTAGATCAATGGAAAATGAGTAGATTCAAAGAAGACTAAGTCCGAAGAGATAAGAGAGCGGTTAAGATCCGGAAAATAACATTCATAACCTTTCTAAACACGGGAGTACCCAAGAAAGATACACTTGAGGGACTTGGGATCGCATTTAGTGATATGTAGCCGAACATCCCGAACGTAGCATAGACACTCAAAGACTCTAGGAGGTATAGGAAACAAAGGCTTTAATAGAAAAAAAGTTTGATAAGGCGTTGTACCCCAAGCTCCCCAAAACTAATGATGACAAATGATTAATCAAGAAATATGTTGTTAAGATAGCATCCGCCCAAAACATTTTAAGAACCTTAATTTGAAACAAAAAGCACAGGCAGTCTTAAGGAGATTCTGGTTCTCGTGTTCAGCTACTCCATTCAGAGAAGGTGTATCAACACACGAAGACCGGTGAAGTATACTATGCTGACATATATATTGATTGAATTGTTTAGAGAAATATTCTTTTGCATTATCAGTACGTGGGCAACAAACTTGAACATTAAACTGATTTTTTCTTTCAGCACAAAAGGCAAAAAAGTGAGGAAAGACTTCAGAACAAGATTTCGTAAAATATATCCATGTCATTTGAGAAAAATCATCCACAAAAGTAACAAAATACCGGAAGTGTGATTTTGACACTATAGGACAAGGACCCCAAACATCTGAGTGTACTAACTCCAACAGACTACTTGATCTTTTATTTGACCAAGGAACAAATGCTAGCCGATGGAGCTTAGCAAATTGGCATGATTCACAATATAAAAGACTTAACATGATGAAATTCAGGGTGTAACTGTTTCAGCAATGGCTGGGAAGGTGACCAAGTCAACAATGAACTTTTAAAGGAATGTGGGTACCAGAACATGCAACACAGGAATCAAACTCAGCAGGTGCAGGGATATCAAGGATATAGAGCCCCTATGGCGCATGTCCACTACCATTGTTCTGAAATAGACTGAAGAATATCATTGTATATTTTTTCTTATATTTTGATCAAAAGGAAGAATGATTTTACAATATATAAAACCCTAATATATTAAAACTATACAAAATACCTAAACTGCCCTCGTACTATTATAAATGCAAAAAATACCCCTATGCATAATATATCTAACACTCCCCCTCAAACTGGAGAATACAAATCGTATGATCCAAGTTTGTCACATAAAAATTTAATTCGAGGACCTTTAAGAGATTTGGTAATATATCTAACACTCACCCTTAAATAGATGTTGCTTTAAGAAATGCATTCTTAATATCAAGCTGATGAAGAGGTCCAATAAAAGACAGAATGGTCTAATGCGCTTCGGATCATGCCAAACTCCTGTATAACACTGCTAAATCAACCAAACCAAGCACGCGGAGATTGTTTCAATCCATAAAGCGAACGGCGTAGTTTTCAAACAAAAGCAAACTCCCCCTGAGCAAAAAATCCAGGTGGTTGCTCCATATAAATTTCCTCCTAAAGTTCGCCATGTAGAAATGCATTCTTAATATCAAGCTGGCGAAGAGGCCAGGAATGCATAGCAGCCAAAGCAAGAAAAAGACGGATCGAAGACATTTTGGCAACAGGTGAGAAGGTTTCAGTATAATCCTCACCAAAGACCTGTGTGAAGCCCTTAGCCACCAAACGGGCCTTGAGACGAGCAACTTGACCATCTGCATCAACCTTAACTGCATAAACCCAACGACAAGCCACAGGAGACTTACTTAAAGGCAAAGGTACCAAGTCCCAAGTACCATTAGCATGCAAAGCAGCCATTTCATCTATTATTGCCTGTCGCCAAC